TTTTTTTTTCAGATGTGGACTTTCTGGGAATGATAATGGGGGGGGGGAGCTTGTTTTTGTACCTTTGTTTTTACTGCCACAAATGTTCTGTCAAAGATGCTGCATAACACAGTTTCTACTTTTAGTAAGTAATTTATATGTAAAAGATTAGATATAAAATATCTATAATTTAAGCTTCCTGAAGTTCAGAAACTAACCTAAATTGCTAAGGTTGCCCCCAAGGAGAGTGGATCATTTCTCTAATCACTCCATAGAAATTTCTCTTATCTCCCCATAGAGATGAAAACAGCTCTCTATATATCATAATGGCTTTTTAAAAATGAATAATTCTTGATTTTGTCTTTTAGAATTGAACTGAGCATCAAAATCATCTGGGAATCCTCTTTTCAAGTATATGCTCAGTTACGTCAGGAGATCTTAACCTGAGTCCTGTAAAAGCAATCTACAGAGTCATAGATTTCCTGATTCACAAAACGATCTATTCCCAAAGGTGGAAAAACACTGAGCTGCCCATAGTATCTAGATTGTAGATCTCCTCTGCTTAGAAGGATAGTGAGATGAAGAATCAGGAGGGCTTGGGGGACGGGGTGGTAATTTGTGATGACAAAAGGTGGATCTTTGGTACCGACATGTTAACAGATGACCTTCTTTATTCATCAGAATTCACTTCCTCTACTTAGCAGACCAACTATGGTACATCAGGCTTAGGGGTAGGAGAGAAAAATCTGAGATTAGGTCAGAATTTAGGGAGAGACAACATCTTGCATGCCATGAAGATGTAGAGTTGCCCCGTCTCAACATTTCAACTCCCCAGCACACCCTCAGAGAGGGCCCAAAGGCCTTCTGGGTGGTTCATTCATGACACATGTATGATCACAGCAAGGCCAGGACACAGGGGACACAGAAGCCCTCCTCCCGTTCATGTCATTCATTGGTCAATAATTACAAAGTGCAGAGTAACACCTCACATGGCAATAAGGTCTTCTATTAGTATTAACTGTTATTTTATTATTTCACTTTTGTGTGTATATACCAGGCTCAACCAGATTTAAGTGTGCTAGAAATCAAAAGCTTTGTCAAATATTGACCATGGTGATACACACACAGTCAGTACTTATTTATTTTTTCAAATGAATAAATAACAACGCATGAAATAACTAAGACTGACATTGGCACTTGCTCCAATGTAAGGAGCCAGAGTAAGGTCTGTCTCTTAAGAGCAGGTTATTTCGAAACCTCCCCTAATATCAATTAAAGTTTTATCAGTTCTAAAATTCTGTGACCATGCATTGAGAGTTTTATGATAAGATACCTATGCCACCCATGATACTTTATAAAGTGTTTGCACGCACGTTCTCAATAACTGTGTACTATTTTCAAATGTTGAGGGGCTCTGAGGGGGTTCTCTGATCTATTTCAACTCTCCCTGGTAGCAACCTGAACAATTTAGGTTGGTTTCTAGAAAAATAAGTTCCCTAGCTCCCTTCAGGTTAAGATCGGATGTTTTCCTCAGTTACAGAGTCCTCTTCCTGCTATTTAAGTCTGCCTGCTCTCGTTCTATCTTTAGTAGTCATTTAGATAAGAAGTGGGTAGTTAATGTTTTCCTGGCAAGACCTGGAGGAACACTTTGCTGTTCTTTTCCTTCTTTCGTGAAGCCTGGAGAAGGCTTAGCAATGAAAGAGGCAGGTGGATCTACTTTAAACAAGGCAGCCTGGTTCTAATGGGCATTCTTAGGGCACCAGCCAATGGCAGCCTGTCAATCGTGAATGCAAATATCTCACTGATGTTACGACTTGGTTTGAATAAAAAGCAAGGGTAGAAAAATGTCCATTAGAGATGACAGTCAGCTTTGAATGGCCCTACTTCAATAATGAGTCTCCAATGAGCTAGAGGGATCAGGCTGGGAGGATTCCAAAGACTTGATGAATCACAAAGATCTCAGAACCACACTGTGCCAAAGGGAAAAGCGTTATTTCTTAATTTGACAAATGCTGCTCATTAAACCCAGGGCAGTATCACAAATGGTAATGGGAAAAATATTCCAAAGCTAAGACTAGAATAGCAAACTAAGTACTGTTATGGAATGAAAGAATCTTTCAGGAAAGCATGACATTGGCTATGTACAGCAATAATCCTGATATTGTGGAAGAGAAAAAAGGGTGATTCCAGTTAGAGCAGGGCCAGCCGCATATGGAGGCAACTAACTAGTGCAGTGTCCAGCCTGATCACCCACCATCACTCTGGCTGCCACAGTGGTGGTTTCCAGGTACTCACTCCTTTGGATTGTCATGGAAGGACACTGTTAGCATGGAGAAAGAGTTGACAAACGGACCCAGTAATAGCTATTTCCATATTCATTCATACTGGTATGAGAAATTAGCAGAAAGCATTCCTTGAGGCAACAGACCAGGGGGACCAGGGGGATTCAACAGTAAGGACAGAAAATGTCCAGAGAAAGGGACATGATCTGGGAAAGAGGGATGAAATGCAGTCCTGAAGATCTTGGGTTTGGAGCAGAATAAAAGGAAGCATAGAAGTTTGGAGGTGACCACATTAGGGATACCCAATGCTGGTTTTGCTGATGCCAACATTTTTCCATAATGATTCTGTTGGGAGTTTCTCCAATTAAATGAACAGAAAACAGAAGAGTCTGTGTCTGACCGAGGGCAGATTGCTTCCTTCTCTCTTCTCTGTCACCAGTGTCACTCCTCCGTAGACTCTGGCCCTTTCTCCCTAAGGGATTTACTTGATTGACCACAGGACAAGGAGCAGGGTCAACAGAAACCCCCAGACTGTGAAGGCACAAATAATCTTAAGACCCCTGTTGTATAATATCTGCCTTGCTAATTAGTTCACAGATATGATATACATTATCCAATTATCTGCTTACAAAATTACCAACATTCCATATAGCTGTTTAGCAAGGTCACAACTGCTGGGTATTGCCATTACAAGTGTTTGGAAGAAATTCAACTTCATGTCTATGTGGAACATGGAACCCCAAAGAGGTAGGAAGTTTGTAATGGTTGTAGGAAAACTCCTACATGAGCTTACAAAGCCATGAAAAAGCCATAAAGTATGTTCAATATATGTGTTTGGCTCCAAAAAAAAAAAAAAAAAGAAGAAGACACTTCCTACACTCTGCCTTTTCATTTAGTAACATCTAGTAACATCAGTTATTTGTCCCAAATCACTTCATTTTCTTAAGTCAAGTTTTGGCTTATTACCATACAGATGGGGATTCTGGATTTCTTTTTTTTTTAAGTGAGAATTCCCACTTTGCTATGTTAATCAAGCAGAGTGACATCCTTTTTGATTGCCTGGTGAATTATGAAACCAGATCAAACCACAAATTTTGCATTTATTTTAACAAAAAACAACGAAGAGTGAGTTAGTCTTGGATTTAATTCCAGCTGTCCCATTTATGAGCTTGGTAGTCCCAAGAAAATTGCTTAACCTCTCAGAGCCTTTTATTTTTTTTCTAATTTATAAAAAATCAGGATATGGTTATCATCTAAGGAAAGTTGTGTGAATTAAATGTGTTCATGTTTGAAGAACAGGCTTAGCATAGCACAGTATAGAGCGCCATTAAAAAGCAGGAATATTCCCCACATGTGTGTCTCAGATTAATGTCAATGGGGATTTGGGAAGATGAGGTGGTGGTGGGAGGGGTCTCTGAGAGGTGGGACTTATTTAATATAAATTTTTGGTCCTGAACTCTGAGTTAGAGTGGAACTTGTACATCATTGTCAATTAATAATCACTATCTCACTGGTTATATATTTAAAGTGAAAGTACACTTTTCTGGGGGGAGGGCACATGAAGGGGCAGAGTTAATGGAGTTGCTGTTCCAAATTGGCAATTACGCAGCTTTTAAGACAATGGAAAGGTTAGGAGCAGAAGAAAATCTGTGAACATGAAGAGCTTTCATATTCTCCCTTGTGGTGTCCTGTTTTTTTGGCTTTTTGGGTTTTTTAAAATGTCATTTGCTTTGCAGAATCTGAGACCTCCTTCTGAACTCCTGATTAATGTGGATATGCATTTGTAAATATTGAGAAGCTGAGCTAGGACTTTGAATGTTTCCTGCATACATGCAGTGTTAATGACTCAGACCTCCTCTTTCATCCAAGATGGGGCTTACCATGTACCAGCACTTCTTGTCCAGCTCACTGTTCCTGGCATTCAGATACCAGTGACCTGAATCTCAGAACAGGTTCTATTTACTATTTAGCCCCTCAAAAATAAATGCATGAATAAAAAACCAAATGGGGATAACTCCATAAAAACAGGTAAAGAATAAGTGCGTTTGTGACCAATTATCCTAATCAAGTGTTAGCTGGAGAGCTGCTGATGAGCTGGGATATGTCCTGTGGGTGCTGGAGTGGGTTTTTCTTGAAGGTGGCTTGACTTCTTTCCTAGATCAGAATTTCATTACATGCTATTCACTGAAGTCACCTCTCTTTCAGGACTGCAGCTGCCAAGACATTGCCTGTCCTTATGGTTGGGTGTCTTCTTAATGACTTCAGAGGCAACTTGCAAAGAATGTTGCCTGGGCATCTCCTCTCCTCACAGTGACTCCAATTACAGTAGCTGTTTTGTTTATTTTGTATCCTCACTGTGCTCTTTACTTATTTTTTTAAAGGTTTTATTTATCTAGAAAAAGCATGAGCCAGCATGCAAGAGTAGGGGGAGGGACAGAGGGAAAGAAAGAGGGGGAATCTCAAGCAGACTCCTTGCTGAGCATGAAAGCCAACACAGCGCTCCCTCTCACAATCCTTAGATCCTGACCTGAGCAGAAATCAAGAGTCAGATGCTCACGGACTGAGCCACCCAGGCGCCCCCTCACAGTGCTCTTTAAATAAATAAAGAGTGATGGGATGGAAAAGGAGTGTACAGGATGATGGGGACTAAGAAGTTTGGAAACATAAATAAGGCCCTTTGGAGTTCTCAGTATGGAGGCTGATGCCTTTGTGTAGTCACTGAATTTGCCCTTTACTCACCATTGCATGATTCAACCACACTGGAAAGATACCATCTAAGGCCTTCGGGTAAACAAGCTCTCGATCGTAGAGAAAAAGGATCCAAAACGACAAAAAAACAAACTGGAAAACACAATACAAAAATAGCATCATTAAGTTTGTTTTCCATCAGAGCTTTCTAAGTTAACCAAGGAAACATGGTAAAATAAAAATAGACACCAGTTTTAGAGATATCCTATAGATACATTATAGAAATGTAAAATGAAGACAGACTTCCTGACTGTTGAAGACCTTTGTCCACTCTCTGGGGATTCCAGAGAACTGGGGATCAATTAATTGTCTCCATGGCAGTCAGGGAGGATATGGACGAACAGGATTCACAGACCATTAAGTCATTTTATTTTAACCAATGACATCTCTTGTCTAAGCTTTCACTGGGAGTACTAAGATCAGCCACCTGGGTGGTTTGAGTCTTATCCTTTCCTTGCCCCCCACCCTTTGAGTAGGCATGGCAAGGGGATGCAGGGAGAATGGGAGAGGACAGAAGTGACCAGCGCCCAGGATAATTCACAAGCTAGTTAATATTAGAAAGTTGTATCTCCCCCTTTCTCCGAGCTTTGAAATGATCCCCATCCTCTAGTGCCTCTTGGCCAAGTGTCTGTCCTCTGGGTTACAAAGCCAATGTAGAGATGGGGGTGGAAATAACCATTAATTTTCCCATCTTCCTATCTTTTTAAATTCCAAAGCCTCCATTTCTAAGTCTTAAAAAAAAATGAATAAATTCCATTGCTACTAAAAACCTGGCCTTTAGATTTATGGGGGTGGAGGAGGAGGTTTCCTGCAAAGTAAAGCTGGAATGCCAGGACTTGCTCTGTTATCTGAGAACTCGTCAGTGTTTGGGCAGTTTCATTTTGCATTTAAGTCTGAAGTCTCAATAATATAGGAGGCAAGACCAGGACAGGCGGAGGGAGGCAGTTATTCCTAAGCATAAGCCCTGCTGGGCAACCTGCAGGCTTGATCTCAGTTTGCTTCCATTCTAACCAATGAATGAAAACAGAAGCAATGTCATCGAAACGTGGGCAGTGTCAGCAAATACGCTCGCTGTCGTTGGCATATGTCAGGCTTCTTTCCAGTGTCCATTCATTCAACAAAATGAATGAGGCACTCACTGTGCACCCCACACTAGATATTTTGGACAGACTGTCTCACTCTTTCCCCAATTGTCTTTTCCACGAGCCAACACTGAAGTTCTCATACCCCTGCACACACCCCCCTTTTTTTTAATGGTTTCCACTTGCAGAAGTAACATATGCTCATTGTAGCAAGTGAAACAAGATGTATAAAAGGGAAAATGAGTCATCTGTCTCCCCAGCACCCTGCATTCCCAGGACTCTGGTGGAGCCAAGGCTATCTTAGTTGTAGTTTGATTAAGAAAGATCCTTCAAATTTCCCCATTGGACATCCACAAGGATTTTGAACAAATGTTTCCAAAGATAAGAAGGCAGTGATAATTCTGGTCAGTAATGAGCCTTATTTCCTGATGACACCGGGCAACACAGTACAGTCCTCAGACAAGACATTCATGCAAAAGTCCTTGTTCTGGTTCACAATAATGGGCACCTGAACAGCCTTGCTGACCAGGAGGAGTGATGTGTACCATATTACTAATACATCTTTGTGACTTACTGTGGAGATTGGGAAAGCCAGCGTGGTAAAAAGCAGGTCTCTGAAGGCGGTCATGAACTTAATGTCTTTTTCCCCCTTAATTCTTTTTAGTACATCTTCCACACAGACGACCCCGTAGAAAATGGCCTGCAAGAGCTGAATTCATTACAACAAATGAGGGCATTTTCATTTGCTTTAATTAATACATTCTTCACTGATGTAAAGCTCCATCCCTCTGGGAGCAATGTTGGTTTGAGAAGGAGGGGGCAGTTGGCTGTGTTGGTTGAGAGCCAATTCAAGGGCTGGTCTTCCAACTCAGTGGACCCTGACCTTGCTCGCTAAAACTGATTGAATAAAGTCGTTTAGGGGATAATAATGTGTACAGTATTTAGTGTAATGGACTCGAGCTAAAATGGAAACAAAATAAAGAGTCAGCTTAAAAGGAGAATGTAATGAGAGTTACCTCAGCTGCACAGAGGTGGGAAATACCAAATAAATAGCACAAGGACAAAGAGCCAGACACAATGGTGGACATATTCTGGCCTCTTCCCATGAAGAAAAAAAAAAAGATGTTAAATGCCCAGTGCTGTAATCCCATTAAAGAAGCTAGAGTCAGGGTTAAGAGCGCCACAAAGGGGCTCTGTGCTCTCCTGAGGAAGATGCACAAAATGGCGTCTTGCTTATCTGAGGGGGACGTTGACATCTTCCCTGACTGAATGGGGTGCCTGAAGGCCTTACAAAGAAAATCTGGCTAAAGGAGTGAATTAAATCCAGGGAGATAGAGCAGGCCAGGGGCTCTGGTGCATCACTAAGTACCATGAGGACCCTGAGGCGAGGTCAAAGAGACATAGGGCTCTTTTCAGGGAAGTAAGACTAGGTAAGGGCAAACTTTGCCCATTCTTACTGTTTTGAACAAACCTGTGGCTTCTGACTGAAGGTCTTATGGGTCAAAGTACAGAGTTATGGTTGGTTTTGATTGTGCTTGCATTAGATCCCATCTTATTCTTTGAAAGCTCTGGGTTGGTACAAAAGGGGCTATCAGAAAAACTGCCCTCAGAGTACGAGTCAGGCAAGGTCTGGAACCTGGGACATTGCTCTCAGGATGGATCAGATTAGCTGTTGGGGAATGACCTCTGAGGTCTGAACTCTAGAAAAAAGAAGTTCTAGCAGAGCTGGTCTCCTTCCACCCTTTAGCCTAAATGGGTGGGTGAGGGAGGATCCCGAGGTGAATTAGGCCAGCCATATACCCAGCTGGGTCCTCAGACTGGCAGCACCAGTGTCACCCAAAATCTTGTGAGAAATGCAGGATCTCAGCCCCACCCTGGACTAAGAATTAGAATCTCTGGGAGTGGGGTCCAGGAACTTGTTAACAAACTCTCCAGGTGATCCTTACAGATGCTCAAGTTTTGGTAACACTCACTGGATTAGACATAAATTTATCACTGAAAATTCCTAGTGACTACTCAAAGTTCTAATAACAGACTTTCACAGATTTCTTGTTATGTGTCAGGCACTGATCTAGGTTTTAATGTCTCATAACCACCTTATGAGGTAAGTGCTATTATTATGCTCTCTCCCAACTCATTTTACAGAATAGGAAACTGAGGCATAGAGGCATGAACAAACTTACTTAAAGTCTTAAGGTTGGTAAATGTGGATTTAAAACCCAGAGTCTGGTTCTTAAGTCACACTTAAAAAAAAAAAAAAAAAAAAAAAGAAGTCGGGTTTCATTAAAAGTAAAGCACCAAAGGAGGTCAGAAGAAAGACAGCTATCTCCAGGTGGGAGAATTAAAATTGACTCTGAAAAATACTGATGCCTGGTTTTCAACCTATCTCTCCGGAGAGTCTAATTTCCTAAGAGGTGTGGGTTGGACTTCAGGATTTTTAAAAAATTCTCTCAAGTGATTTGCATCAGGACAGCTAAGGTTGAAAACCACTTGCCTAAAGGAACTTTCATTTGGACATTTAGATCCAAGAGAGGTGGGACAGTGAAGATCCAGGAGTGAGCACTGCTGGTGGGATGAGCCTGGAGAGAGAGAGAAGTGGAAAGTGAATGCAGGGGCAATGCCCTATCCACAGGGCATAAGGGACAAGGGGGCAGCAAAGTAGCAAAGAATGACCAGATAGTAGAAAACTGAGAAGGTACAAGAATCCCATGATCCCTGAAAGGAGGAGGAAGTTTTTAAGCCAGAAGGGTGGTTCCAAAGAGAGGTGGGCGATGGTTTTGAATGTCCTGAAGAGGAGGTCACCCCAATACCTGCCATCTACTTTTGACATTCCGCCCCTGGGCTGTAGCATTGGGAGCCGTCTTTTACACACGGATGTTAGAGGAAGTTGCGTCCTCCTCCACTCTTTCCACCCCTGAGAGCAGCTCTCACCTCACCCCCTGGTTTCACTTCCAGCTGTTCAGACCACAGCAGGCAGCTGCTTTAGTTGGGAAGGACAGGCATGGGGCCTGGGCCCCGACAAGGAGGCCTGTACTCTTCTATCAACAGAGCAATTAATCACGTACTGAGCACCGAGCGTCTGCCAGATTTTCTGTCTTTGGGGAGAGGACGCCTCCACCCAGCATGTGAAGTCCATGTGACCGCTTTCCTTAGCAAGACCTTCCTAGGGTCACCATGAGTCAAGCTCGTCCTAACTTTCTCTGGCTCTTCCCAGTCAAAAATGTGGAAATGGGATTGGAAGAAAAGAACACATAACTCAGAGCCTCCCTGGCTTCTCCTTCATCAGTAAAACTTTTCTCCACACCACAAACTTGCCAACCAACTCTCCACCTCCTCCACCCCACCCCTTACCCCCCACCCCCACTCACATCTATATGCCAACTGCGTGCGTGGGGCAGCCTTGTCCCTACTGATCTCAATCTGCATTGACATGCCATCATCTGTACCAACAGGGAATATTTGTGGAGCCCTCATAAAAGAACTCAGGAGGGAGGCGCTAGGGTGTTGCCCAGAGAAATAAATAAGCCAGAACTAGGCCAGAGAGGAGCCACGCAGCAGAGCTGGAGGGCAAGGAGAGGGAGGTACCATGAACTCGTTCAGTGGAGAGACTTATGGGACTGAATTATGCCCCCCCCCCAATTCTTATGTTGAAATTATGACCCTCTGTGGCTTTATTTGGAGATAGTTCTTTAGAGAAGTAAAAACGTGAAAATGAGGTCAGTCAGGGCACGTTCTAATCCAATATGGCTGGTGTCTTTCTGAAAAGAGGAAACTAGGACACAGACCCCATGCACCATGAAGCAGGACCATGTAAAGACACAGGGAGAAGAAGGTGGCATCTACAGGCCGAGGAGGGGACCTCAAGAGAAACCCACCCTGCTGACACCTTGATTGTTAGCCTCTGGAACTGTGAGAAAATAAATTTCTGTTGTTTAAGCCATCCAGGCTGTGGTATTTTGCTATGACAGTCCAAGCAGACCAACACAATAAAGATAAAACAAGATGGCAACAACCGGCCTCCTTTGAAGAATCTCACAACAAAATGACCGTCGTTTACATTTCTCACCTACCTGGGCTGCCCGGGAAAGCAGAGCTGATGGAATCTTGATCAGGGGTTATTTCCGAGCTACAGCTCTGTGATTTATCTCTTCTACCAATTCTTTTCTAAGTCTGTTTGTTCCTTGCCTTTTTTCTGAAATGTTGCTGGTCTAAGTTTGTTAGCTGGCTTCCGTTTTTGCTGCTCGCTAACAAATTTACCACCTGGGAAGGCGCAATTTAAGTAGTGCAATTTAAGAAGTGCAATTTAAGAAACCATAGCTAAAGGAAATTTTGTTTTTACATTCACATGCCTTCACAAGATTCACAAAAATCTTGAAATGATGGAAACTTCGCCTTTCTAAGTCATCAAGTTAATTTCTTTGCCTTTAAGCCAGAACCTTCTTCAACTATCTCAGGAAATGAGAATTTCTTCTATTTAAAAAAATAATTCCAGAGAGGGAAATTCCACAAGTTTCCTGAACAAGACATTACAAATCTTATTGGATGAGTCAAGTCATCCAACACCCAGCCCAGCTCTGTGCCTGACTTGAACACGCTGGGACTTTCTTAGGTCTCGCCTTCAAAATGATGCAAGACTTGCAGTAGGAGACTATTCCAGAATAAAAGAGAAAACAGGGACTAGTGGTGGTCACGATTTTCTATAACTGAGGCGACGAGGGTAGTTTGGGTGCAGATAGAGAAAGCCTTTGCTAAAATAGATGTGTACTTTATATAATCGACTGCTTTAAGCACCATTCATGTGCACTTAGCTTAAGTAAAAAACCTGAGATTAAAAAAAAAAAACACAGAAGAAATGATATGAAGAATATAAGCTGGCATGAAAAGGAGGGGAAAAAATAAGAAGAGAAGAAACCCAGAGAGCACTGAAGGACAGGTTGGAAGATGAGTTCTAAGAATGCTCAGCCAGGGTTGCATAGCTGTGGACCACTGGCATCAGAGTAACAGCAGGATGGACAGGCTGGGTGTAAGTTCCTTTACAGGTGGGGTGGGGTTCCCTAGAAAGTGGCTCTGACCAGGTAGACCCATGACCTGGTTATTTATTCGTGCAACCAACATTCACAGAGTGCCTGTTAGGTGCCAGAAACTCGGAGACTGTGTTAGACATAGTACAGGCTAGGGCGGGCTTTGTGCTCATATGTCTTTATTAGGACAAAGAGAGGAGAAAGAGGAGGAGGAACCCTTTCCGTATGTTTACTATCTTACATCATGTAGTCAGGTTCCTTGGGAAACAGAACCAGATTCTTAGATCTGCCTGCAGAGCGTTCATTGAGGAGTGCTCTCAGAACAACTGTGAGAGGGAGGGGTGGGGGTGGGGGAGGAGGACAGAGCTGCAGGAAAAGATGAAAGGCAATGCACTTGCATGGAATCAGCTGGTCCCCGAAGGAGCTCTGGAGCTGAGCTGGCTCTTCAGAGTTGTCCTAGAGACTGGCCTCTCTACCCCAAATCAACCAGTCATTGGATGCAGCAACCTCAGGGAGGACCCTGAGCCTTGTCTAGGCAGCTCCCTTCTCCTAAGGGCATTTCTGGGATAAGACCTCAGCTGTGAGTCATCAGCAGCCAACACTCCTGCCAGGAACTAGGGAACAAGTACCTTGATGCTGGGGACATGGGAGAATCTGGGGGCCACACCAGGGGATACACACCATATGAGGATAGTGAGGCTCAGGGATGTTCGATAACTCACTCAAGATCACACAATAAGTGAACAGCAGAGCCAGCACTCACCCCCAGCCAACCTGGCTCCAGAAGCCGGGTCTTCAATCACTGACCTCTATACAGTGTATAAAGAACCTACCAGAATGTCATGGTTGCCCAGGGATGTTACAATTATTTTATTTTAGGTACTGGTGGTGACGATTTCCTGCCATCAGTTCTTACCCTTTCAGCTATCTGAGAGGTGAAAACAGTGGCCTTAAGCATTTTTGTGAACATATAATCAATTTTTCACTCTGTTAAGGCAAAACAGGGAACAAATTCTATGTTCCACAGATGAATGTATTAGCCTGATAATGGAAATTAAAGGCTGGCCCCCACTGGGTCCTGTAACATAAATGGATCCCGTCTTCTCATTGTTTGTGAACTGCTCTGGAGTTTGGACCAATGGAAGGTCCTCAAGGATTTCTCTTCCCCCGGCCCTGCTTTGCCATCTCTGAGGACCTATGTGATGAAGTTACTGTTGTCAGGGTGACAGATTGAGGAGAATGAGGTCAGAGCTGTGGGAGGCTTGGGCAACTTCATGATAAATGGAGGGAAAGGTCGTGTTGGTTAAGGGGGGAGGGGACCATCCAGAATCTCCCCTGGAGATCCCAGTTATGTGGCACAAAGTTTCATGAGGAATTTTATTTTTAAAAAGAGGAAAACCCAGCACACTGTATAAAGCCAACAAGTTAAATTATGGCTAAAATCCCCTCCAATCCCCTGTCTCCCAGCTTAGGTTCCTTGAGGTCGGGGCAGTCCCTGGATAGAAATGGAGTGGATAGGGAGGAGGGGACATGACATTTGTGGAAGTCCCAGGCACTGGAAGCCTGAGCTGACACGAGCACCCTGAAGATATCCACAGTATAGCCATGTCTCCACACCCAGCTTCAGGGGCGTCCCCATCCAGCACAGCTCACTGCTCTCCGCTGGAGCTGGCCAACTCCACCCCCAGGACAGCCCTGGTGCCTGAAGGTTGTACCTGCACAGCTAAAGGGGGCTCTACAGTGGCCATCCTCTGGCTAGGAAGCTGGAGTGTGCACCCTGCAGAGGGAGATGCCAGAGCAGTGAGGCGGGTGGATGATCCTTGCCTGGACCCATGACCCACCAACCTTGGTCAGGTGACTGACATCCCAATAAATTGCCTTGGCCTCTGCATGACCTCTACTAGAAGCTCATCACCACCCTCCTATCTCCGCTCTTCATCACCCAGTGCGTACAGCATTCTGAGAGCTTTCTGTGTTTTGAGTCATATATCCCTCATGGTCATTCTGTGATGAGGCACTCCTTTTACTTTTACTTTTACTTGGCAGATTTGGAAACTCAAAACACAAAGAAATACATAGCCCAGGATCACAGACCCTGATGGTGGTAGAGCCGAGCTGCCATCCCAGACTCATGACAGTAGAGCTCATGCTTATAATCATGAGGCTACACAGCCTCTCTTTCCCAACAGAGAATTGGCCGCCCCTTCCCTAGGGTGGGTGCACTCCCTCCTTAGGCAAAAGCTCACATCTCCTCGCTCTTTTCGTTACTATCCTTGGGAACTAGGCAGGAACTGGTCACTGGGACCAACTCTCAGTGGCACCCCTCCCACAGCGCCCCCTGCCACCAATCCTGTGCATCTTCCCTTTGAATGCTGTTGGATGCTTCAGGAAGAAAATGAGGATGGTCAGAAAGTTGACCTGCGTTGAGGTGGATAGTGCAAAATGAAATGGGGCAAAACAGGTATTTTGCCAAGTAAAAATTAAAGCTGTTTAAAGGGAGGTGGTAAATTTCCTGGAAGGCAAGGAAGAGAAGGAAGGCAAGGAAGCCAACAAGTTTACATAAAATAACTTAAGGAGTATTACAGCAAGTTATGAGACTTCTGTGCCTTTATAAACACAACCACTAGCTAGTCATTAATTAATCATTAGTTGACACACCAATTAATCAGTAGGAAACACAATTATGAAATCAGTCCCTGAGGCCTCAAGAGCGAGAAATGTTAAGTCTCAGGATCTCACCTTGAGCAACATATTTGGAATCTATCTTTAAACTGATCCTCTGAAACACAGTGAACCCATCTTAAGTCATAAAACTTAATGTTTTATTAAGAAAACTTCACATTAAGTCATACTTTCAAGATGACACTTAACAGAGCCTGGAAAGGAAACAGCCACAGGTAAGCAAGCCCCTCTGTGCTCATTTCAAGAGCCAAAAGATGTCAGAAGAGATAATACTGCTCAGGAAGGCAGAAAACGCTGAAGTTCAAGCGCACTCACCATACCAAGTCGCTTAATTTTTTTTTCTGGGGGCACTCTGCACCAGCCACTGTAGCAAATACAGCGTAGACTCATAGAATGTTAGGAGACAGAACTCCTGTTTTGAGCCATTTACACTTTGATTGGAATGTTAAGACTCACATGTGGGTGGAAATAAGAAGATAATACTATTACATAAATAACCAGAGACTAAACGATTCCGTAAAAACTCAGGGAAAGGAAAAACAAATGTGGGTTGGAGTTGGTCAGCAGAGATTCTAAAGAAAACATGGGATTTGGGATGGTCTATGAAAGCAGCAAAGTGGTGGAGAGAGGTGGATAGGCCTTTCATCCAAAGATGGTGTGAGAACGGTGATGGCATGAAGCCTAGGGACCAACGCTGGAGAAGACACAGGCCTTCCTGGAGAAGAGACCAGCTCTTCTGGGGAGAAGGGGACCTGAAGGCTGAGTAGGCTGGTGAGCTCTTCAGTCAGGAGTTCACAATTGGTTCCATAAAGTAGGAGGGAGCCACTGTGATTTCTTGAGGAGCAGAACCACCTTGTGCAAGCAGGCTCATGACGGTTATAACAAAACCAAACCAAAACCAGTGCTTTGGGAAGATGAATCGGAAATCTGAGAGGTAGATGCATGGATTGCTTGCTAATAAGAGGACAATGAAGAGATAATCTTGTCACCTAGGTACAAATTAATAAGAGCCTGTAATTACAGGGATAGCAAGATTGGGGAAGAAGGAAAAACATAGGATCTGCTGGCTGATTTCATCAGGGAAGTGAAAAGGGGATTGATTAATACTAGAAAAGAATAGTGTCTTCCACAAGATAAGTGGCTTTTTCCATTCTTGGAAATATGAGGGCTCTGGGGCATGGAACTAAGAATGAAGAAGTCAGAGAGATGGTTCGTGGGAGTAGGTGAGAAGTATGTTCTCAGCCATGCTTACTGTGAGGTGGGACATCCATACCAGAATTTGGATTAGATTCTACCATCAGTGCTGGCTGCAGACACCCCTGTCTTTTGTTGACTATTTTTAATATAAAGCCAATAGATAACTCAAAGCTGAGGTTTTCACTATATTATCCTGCTCCACAAAAGCATTTCTTTGTGGTTTTCTATTTGTGTGTTTGTTTCACAAAATTCTATGATTGAAAAGATTCACCTTGATAATTTCAAGTACACAAGAGAGGCCAGGGCTGGAAACTTTCAAGTCAAAATCAAAATCCAGCAAGTGGCCAGAGAGGAGGAGAATGTCCAGGCCCCTTGGATTTGAACCTTCTGCATTTCCTCTCTTTAGCCCTTTGGAGTGTCACTTTTTCTGACCATGTATAACCTCTGCTTAGGATTGTGATTCCCAAGGACTGGAATATTTTGCCCGGTTTCTGAAATCACACGTTTTTACAGCACCCTACATTTTATTTTATTTTTTTTTAAATAATTTTTTAAGGTTTTATTTGTGTGACAGAAAGTGAGAGAAAGCCCAAGCTGGGGGAGTAGCAGGGGGGAGGGAGAAGCAGGCTCTCCACTGAGCAAGGAGCCCGATATGAGGCTCGATCCCAGGACCCTGAGATCATGACCCGAGCCGAAGGCAGAGGCTTTAACCCACTGAGCCACCCAGGCGCCCCCAGCACCTTACATTTTAGTTAAAAAAATCTGAAACAGTAATTAGCATCCCCAAAGGATGGACTATTTTTAGCTTTTAACTAATATTTTTACATACTCCCAAAACATTTTTTAAAAACCTGTCTTTCTCCCATTCATTCACACTTCATTCATCAGAATGTGGTCAGCTGGTCTAGAGAGACAAGAAGGAATCAAGTCATAGGATTGGTTGGTGAATTGTTAAAAATGTGTATTTGCCATTTGGCTGAGTGATCCATCCTTTACAATGGAGCCTGAGCCTATAAAAAATTGAAGTGGGATCTGAACATGGCAAAATGTGTTTGCTTTTCTTAGATAAATCTGTTAGTATGTGCTGGAAAATGGCATCATTCCCCCATTGGAAATTGTGCTTCCCACGCAACATACGCCACTCTGTCTTCCCTCACAGATTTCCCCAAGCAAAGTTCAAAATCCTGCTTGTGTTGGTAGTCAGTCCCACGGTGAAACTATTAATTTAGTCTTTCCATTTGAGCTCATCCAAGAAGAACTCCAAGATATGATTCTTTTCAAAAGAGTGTTTAACAATTAGCACAAAATACAGCTACCGAGAACTTCTGAGCTGGGTTTCTCAAGAGCAGATTGTCAAGTCAAAAAGAAAGTCAAAACTCACAATGAAGAAGGAAGACAAAGAATAGAATTTTGTATTTAATAAAACTCAAAGATGATACATGTAAAAACACTGGTACTCTATAGGACAAACAGCTTACTTCCTGGTATGGTCATATGGACTTACCAGATTTAGGAATGTCAAGTACTTCCACTGTCCGCCATTGAGAAAGACTTTGGATTTCCGCTGGTCTCCTCCTTGTTGTGAGATGTAATAATTGAGAAAAATATACCAGCTCAAAACAAGGAAGTGGTATACGCAGGTACAAATCCTCGTCATGGCTAGCTCTGACCAGGGAGCCGTGATGACTCAGGTAGCTTTCCTCTGGTGTCCGTCTGTGGGTCACAGCTGAAGTCATAAGGCATGCCCGAGGGCTGTAAACCACACCCCTCTTGGACTGGGAGTTCCAGCAAGGCTGAATTTGGCTTCTCTCATAGGCTCCTTCCCTGATAAACTTGGTAGATGGGATTATTGCTGGTTTTCAGATGCTTTCATTTAGATAATGATAAGTAATCCCCAGATTTACAGAAGTTTCAATGCTTAGGCTTGGAAGAGGAGCAGGGGGAAAGGCAAGACCTGCACTTTGCACTGTTTGGCTGGGTAAGGGACCTTATTGTGAAACACCAAAAAACCCTAATCAATACTGTCAGGGCCATATCCTCTGTTCTTTTCTTTTTATCTGGGCAGAACAAGGAAGTTGGAATAATACTTCTTGAGAGATGAGGATCAGGTTGATGGATGAGATGGGAGAGATTATGGGCATGTTTACGGCACAAAGGGAGGTCAGGAGAAAGGGAAAGGACATTCTAATCTTGCTCCTGAGGTCTCTAGGGCCCTATAAAATCTATAACAAACGGCTCCTCCAAGGAGAGGCCCCAAGGCATTTTTTTTTTTTTTTTTTTAGTTTTGTATCTATGCCCTAGAGAACCAAAGGTTACCCAGGGCTGCCCCAGATCATTTACAAGGGTGTTTCTGTGCCCTGAGAAGAAAGAAGCACAGCAAGAGGTCTGTGGCCAAAGAAGCAAAGGAAGAGGTGTGTAGCCATGACCCCAACATACCTGAGTTTAGACACTGATGGGAAAGAGTAGGGGGTCTCTGCATTATTGCCTTAGAGAGGATGAGAATGTGCTTAGGCTGGGCAGAGTTTTCAGAACTGGGCCCTGCTCAGGCTCAGCAGAAGGCCCCTGAGAGAGCACTAGAAGTGTGATTACCTTGTGACATCACCAGCTTGTTTCCCTGGGCAACTGACTCTGAGGGTTCTGAGCAAATCCCTACAGGGAAGGCTCCCAATGCTGTTATGTAAGTCTGAAACTGGTGCTGTTCAGTGGTTTAATCAGGGCTAAAATGTCCTGGGAGAAAGAACTGCGGGCTACGCATGGAGGGCAAAACCAAACCAAACCCACCTCCAAGAGTCATCAAGAATAACGGTTATACGGTGGCGGGGAGGTGGGGTGGGGAGAGCAAACCTGAACCAGCACTAGAGGGTCTTCACTGAAAGTGTTCCCAAGGGAAAGGGTGACCTGGCAAATGGTGACATAAAACTCTGTGCACAATTCCATGGCCTCGGTTAAAACTGCAAATAGAGCAGCTCATGCTTTGACCATGTTTATTGTGTAACAGGCCTTGCTCCAAGTGCTTTACCCATACTAGCTCATTTAACACTCTCAACACCAGTTTGAGAGAAGCACTGTTCTGAACCTCACTACTATGAACCTCATTTTCAGATGGGGCTCCTAAGAGGATGTGCAAAAAGTAGCAAGAGGCAGAGCGGCAGTCTGTCCTCTGCCCAGTGTGCCTGACCACAAAGAAGGAATGTTTGCACTGCATACCCTCAGGCAGCCTCTGCAAAGTGTCTCCACCTGTGGCTGAACCTCTTTTATGCCTCTCTTTCTCCCAAGGGAAAAGTCCCTCAGGAAAGGATCAGATCTGTTTTGAAACTTGGTGCACATATAAGTTATTGTGCTATGCCTCCTGGGGTGTTTTCATGGTACACATCATTATACATTTAGGGGTTTTCTCCTTTTATAGAAAAAATCTCAAGCCTAAGTCTGCAGATAGGGTAAGGATTTGAGGCAAAAGTGAGAAAAGAGAGGGAAACAAAGACTCAAGTCTCTGGAACATGTATATCCAACCTGGAAGCTGGTCCCTTAACACCTGGATTTTTTTTCCCTTCATTAACCTCAATGGCCATAGATGAAGACTTTCATAAATATCAATATAGTTGGGGCACCTGGGTGACATAGGTGAAGTGTCTGAATCTTGATTTTGAGTCAGGTCATGATCTCAGGGACATGAGATTGAGCCCCACATCAGGCTCTGTGCTAGGTGTGAAGCCTGCTTAAGATTCTTTCTCACCATCTTCCTCTGCCCCTCCCCACTTCAAATATAAATATAAATATATAGATAGATATATACAGTTATTTAAATTTATGTATATGTTGTTCAATGTTTGATATTGGAATCCAACTGTTAGCTTTTTAATGAATGATAACTTTATCTATCTATCATCTATCAGGATTTATAGAGAGAAAATATGCAATTTTTTACTTCAATATATTTTCTTATAAAAATTTTCACAAAAATGTCTAAAGGAAATTCTACCTTGTGACCATGTTCACATCATAAATTGTATCTGTGGTTGAATAACCAGATAAATTTCCATGAAGCACTTTAACCATCTGTTTCGTGCTCTGAGACCAGGTGGAGCTTTGGGGAATAAAGACAGTGTTCACCACTTAGCTACATGATATTATTAACTGATACAGACTGAATCTGCTATTTGCCTGCCTTTCTCCACTCTACAAGTATTTGGAGGCCTCATGTCATTTCCAGGAGGAGAAGAGAATTGTTCCCTAACTTGATAAAAAACTGACAGAAATACACACTTTTTTTCCATGGGAAATACTAAAAATATAAAATAAGCACATTTCACATTTCGAATGGAACAGATAATTTGACTACTAAAAGTAACATTCTTTGAAACTATCTTCTGGGAATTTAGAACATCAATCTTTAATTTCACAAATACTTATCAAACAACTGCTAATTGCCAGGTACTTAGTAGGCTCTGTGGATTCCCTGGGGAATGAGAGAGCTCCAATGCCTGCCCTGATGGAGTTTCTATTCTAGTAAGGAATATGGACATTAAATAATAATAAAATCAGGTGTTAATTTATAATTATGGTAGCTTCTGTGGAAAATAACAGCATGAGACTTGCAGTGGTCTGAGGTCAGGGAAGCTGGCCTTAGGAAGCCACCTGTGAGCAGAGCTGTGTCCTCTTAACACTCCCAAGAAAATCCAACTGTCCTTCCCAATCTTTTTTGTGAGCTCCTCTTTCTCTGCCCATTCCTTATGTGTTCATATTTCCCAGGGAGCTGCTCCAGCCCTCCGTCCATCTCCCTACATACTCACCCAAGTGATGCTGCCCACTATCATGGTTTCTGCCATGACTTTCCAGTCTATAACCACAAATTTTATATCTGTTTTCCCAGCCCTCCCCCCATCCCCACAAAGCTTCAAACATGTCTCGAGTACTTGTTGCATATTTCCTGAATGACTCAGATGCACCTCAAAACTCAAGGTGTCTAAAATGCATGCACTACTTTGCCCCAAACCTGAACTTTTGTTTCTATCCTCTCTCTTGGGGGAGATGGCCCCATTGTCCAACCTGGGAGTCTTCTTTCCCTCCTCTGCCTCCCTCACTGCCCAAGTCCTGCCAATTTCATCTCCCAAATCAAACTCAAGTCAGTCCTCTTTTTTCCATTCTGTCTACTGCCCTAGTTCAAGATCTTCCCAATCTCTTCCCAGATGGTACTGTCTTCTAACCAGTTTTCCGGATTCTAGTCTTATCCCCAACTCCATTCTCCCCTAGGTCAGGAGGTGAGTCTATCCAAAAAGCCAATTTTAACATATTCTTCCCTGGCTTAATCCCTTTACTGCATCAATATCACCTACAGGATAGCATCCAAGTTTCGTAACTTTTTATAAACAAATACCCATCTGGCTTTGGTACTTTCTCCAGCCTCATCTGGTTTCATATTTGATTTCCTCCAACCACACTTGGCTAGGTGACATGCAAGTGCTTTGCTCCTACCACCTCCTCTCAATGTGTCTTTGGCTGGATATTTCATAACCATCCTCCAAAATGCAGCTCAGCAGTTCTCTAGGAACTCTTCCCTGAACATCTTCTCAACTAAGCCATATTAAATATCCTCCATTAGTTCCTTAATAGCCCATACATCTCTGAAAATTGCATGATGATTATTACTGTTTTAGCCCATTCAGGGTTCTATGACAAAAATACTGTAGATAAGGTAGCTTATAAATGACAAAAACTTATTTCTCACAGTTCTGGAGTCTCGGAAGTCCAAGATCAAGGTGCCAGCAGACTCTGTCTGATGAGAGCTTCCTGGTTCATTGATGTCATCTTCTTGCTATGTCTTCACCTGTGGAAAGGGATGATGGATCCCTCTGGGGACTCCCATGTAAGGCCAATAATTCCATTCATGAGGACTCCACCCTTCTGGTCCAATCACTGACTTAGGATCCCACCCCCTAATCCCATCACTTTAAGGGTTAGTATTTCACCATACACATTTTGGAGAAATAAAACATTTAGTCCATAGCAATTAGAAATGAATCTCTTTTATGAACTGTTATCTCTCTGGGTACAGAGATGGAGTTTTTGGGTTCTTAGAGCTTAGCATAGTGCTGGACACATAGTAAAAACTTAATCAATGTCTGTTAAATAGACAAATATGTGTATATCATGCATACTTGCCTACTGAGCCTTATTATAAAGCCAGCTCACCCATGAAAACCTTAACTATGTTTAAAGTGTTCAGCTGCTGATTTCTTGGGAGGAGCTGGAACACTAAGATGAGTAAGATATAGCCCAGGCCCTGGAGGAACTCACAGTCAAGTGGCAGAGACAGAAATCTAAACAAAAAAATTATAGCATGATATGATAAGTATTATAATAGAGGTATGCATAACCTACTAATGGAACTTCAATTATCTTGCACATTTTCTGTCATTCTAAATATACAGAAGATTGACTTCAAAATAAATGTGTTGAGTGAATCACTGGAAACTCCAGATGCTACGTAGGAGAAGATAAGGATTAATGTGATCTCTCTAAGCAAAGTAGCCATGGCCACCAGCCTGGACAATGGTTTTGTCTAGTAGAGACTGTAACCCATCCCCAGGCCCGTCACAAAATGAGGAGGTACAAAAAGCAGGGTCTCAATCTGGGCTCGAGTTTACTGGTGACCTTGGGCTGGTGAGCCAATGCTTCATTGGGGCATTAGTTACCTCAAGTATGAAATGGAACTTGGGGTACCCAGAGCAGGTGATTGTCTTGCTTCCTGAAGCCAGGACATCTACTTAGCTAAGGGAATAATTGACCAAGGCTAGCCTCTGAAGGCACTGGAGGGAAGCCCAAAACCCATAGATATACACCAACTCCCATACATACAATGGAGCCAACTAGAGCACAAGGTGTTGGAAGATGCTCTGTGCTGTTCGGTACAGGTAGCACAGTGGTGTGAAGGAAATCAGGATGTCAGCGCTCAGGATTCTTGAGGTTAGGGTTGAGGTAGATAAAGCCTTCTAAAGTCTTCTTGAAGTTATATGGGATGGAGTCCTGTATTGGGCTCCCTGCTCAGTGGGGAGTCCGCTTCTCCCTCTGCCCCACCCCTGCTCGTTCTCCCTCTCTCTCTCTCTCAAAAATAAATAAATAAAGTCTTTAGAGCCAGAATACCTCCACACACGTTATAGGCTCCCTTAACTTTGCCCATGCTTCAGTAAATAGTCCCATCATTAAATTCCCCTCTGAGTGGGCAATCTTTTCCTGCTGGAACCCTAACTGGTGTAGCCAACCAAACTGTGAGCTCCTCCAGGGGAGTCTAATAATACCTCTGGGACCTCAGAACTATTCATACTTGTAGGTAAATTCCAGATGCTGGTAAAGATCTGTTTGCAAGGTTCAGTTCTGGTATTGTGGTATTCTTAATATCAACCTGTGGAGGATGGTCTCTAACCCTTGGGTTTCCAGATTATTACCATCCTAGTCACCCAGAGCAGTTTATATTTCCTT